TCTCTTCGTGAGGTATCGGTATTCTGTAGTAAGACTAAATGGACTGGATAGCTCAGCGCGATCAGAATCCCCGTAGAGAGATTGATTGATTGAACACTGAACGGCATTAAAGGGAGAGAGGAAAAAAGCGAGAGTTCTTTTCTCTGGTATAAAATCTTAATTCAACGCCGTTATCTGCAGGAAAGGCAGCTGGGCCTGGCTAAGAAACTTTTCTGGATGATGAATATACCGTAGAATGTGTTAAAGAAGGAATTCTCATTACTCTTGGTGATTTAAAATCTATTCCTTCCCCGAACCGGTAGTATTTCATCGCGGCTAAGGGTACATGAGGTGCATTAGACCTTGATATAACAAAAAAAAAAAAAGTCTGGAAACTCAAGGATTTTTTCCTAGGTCAGCACGAACCATCCGGAACCGTTGAGAAAAATTGACAAAATTATAGTCTATAAACCCAAGTTAAATTGACCAGGGTCTATTTCCACTCGGCTGCGACTCGAAAATGAGAAATGCAAAACTCAAAAACAGATTTATGCATCTTTTGCGATCAGTTTTGGATTCCTGGTATAACGTGATGATTAAGAGAAAAGATTAAAAGAAAGCGTTAAATTTTCCAGGAAATGATTTTGTGTTTTAAAGTTCCAACGTTCATAGTGTGCCTGTAAGTAATCTACAGCAGCCCTGCTGTCGCCTTGGCAATAAGTAGAACTACTGCTGGCGCCATCTTTGTTACATGGTATACCTTATGGTCTACCCCTACCTCTCTGGGGCTTATCTTTCAGTAAAAGTAGATCACAAAAATTGATCTTTCTGTCAGATAAACCACACAAAAAGAACATCTTGTAGGATCGCTTGACAATCGTGAATGAGAAGGTAAACATTTGAAGACATAGGGGCAATTAATGTTTTGTAGCGAAGTGAAACGAGCTTTATGGTTTCTTTGCAATATATAGCCTACCTAGCGGGAATTCCATTTGTATGGAGTATCTTTCATTTCATTAAAACAAAAAATATTTGAATTAATTTTGATCTCATCACTAATGGTTTTTAATTGGGAGACATGATAATGATTCTAGTCACGGCGAATTTTAAAAAATGGTCTGAAACAAGTGCTTGGGAGAAACGAATAAGAGGCTTTTATTGGGATTTTATAGAAAAAGTTTAGAAATCGCCACAGAAAGTCGCTTTATGTGTTCGATTAGTCGCCACCTTAGCATCTAAGATACTTTGGCAATTTTACATAAAATCGTTTTATCTTATTTTCGTGAAACGGCGTGTGACTCAAAACTGACGATTTCACGAGAAAAACTGACGATTTATACGTGTCCAAACCTTTTAACAAGCGACCCCTTGCCCTGATCATTTTAGCCTCCTTACCCTTAACATGACTTCAAGATGGGCAGTCCTATGGATATGATATATAAAATATAGGGAAAGATACATGTATCACCCTTATATCATCTCTCACGACCATAGATCAGATATAGGGCAAATATAAGAGAAAGGATAATGGGTGATTTGTCATTCACAGCGTATTACTCTCAGGAATACGTATAAGTAATGGCAAGCCAAGGCCATACGTTATGGAACCAGTGCTACGCAGCAAAATGAATCAAAAGAACCACAATGATTCGTTAAAATACGAGAAATGTCAAAACTAATGAGCAGAAGCATTACCATTCGACACGCAACATCGGTTTATGGTGAAAAGTCAGGAGAGCACGCGAAACACGTCTGCGGCTTTATATTCTTGGCATTTTTTCTCTCTTTTTTTTTTTTTTTTTGTCGTACATTTTGTCAAAATTTGTTTCTCACGGCGCTCCAAACACATCTTTGTTTATGTAATTCACCCTAATCCCCAACCCCTTTTACACAACATAGTCCAATCCAACAGGTGTATATTTTAATTTCAATACGTTTCCTTTTGTCTCTTTTTACTGCTTGCGCCAAATGCATTGGCAACAACTGAAAATTCATTAAATGAAAAGTACTGTCATCCAAATCATGTTTTGAAGTGGACTGTCGTCTTGTACACACACTACAGAATAAACGGAACTAAGTCAAGCATCAGTAACACTAGTGGGTAGACAAGGACAAATATGGTTTTAAAAAGATGTTTGAAGTAGTATCATTAGAAAGTGCTGCAGTGCAGCAGTCCCAAACTAATCTTGTGGAAAAGATTTTTCTTTGGATTTAGCTGAAACGGCAAATTCTATAACTCAAATCTTTGTGTAACTTGTACGAATTGTCTAAGTTATTGCGGAGTTTAGTGTGCTTATAGGTTCAAACATATAAAATACAATTAAGCTGTGGCAAATCATGAGTTGGGGGCACCCTACTCGCTTTGTAGACACGTATTCAAAGGTCTCTGAAAATGCATTCCCAGTATTCAAAAGTCTCGTCAGTTTTAAATGGCCGCCAAAATGTTCATAAACTCACTCTAGGCTGTGTAAGAAGTATGGTTGTTATTTCTATAGGCATGTACCATGCCTCCAAGGTACCAGCGGGTCATTCTTTGGCACCTTCATAGAACATCCGGTTCTCGAGTGTGCTTGAGGGGGGGGGGAGATTTTGGCTATGCATACGAAAGAAGGCTCTCAAAAACTTTCTGGCTATTTTAACAGCTGTTCAAAATAAATGCACGTACACGCACACTGGGGTGGGTTGGTGGGTGTGGGTGTGGGGCAGATCAATATTCACCAACCCCAACGCCTTCGTTAGAACCTTAGATCTGCCAGTTTTAAAGGCATTGAAAAGTATAATAAAAGCAGAGTTATTATTCTCAATTTATTCCTAGCTAGAAACACTGAAGTATTGGAGTACAGAAACGTTAAGCTGTTGATTGGGACAATGACATTCACACTGTAGAGGGTCTTGGTCATATGCAAGGCTGACACTTGCACGACTTTTGGTCCCGATTTTGTCGTGGCAAGTCGTGCCACTTTGGGGCACGAATTGGGAGGCTCCCGCACTGTCCCCTACTAGTTCACGCATAGTTCACGACGAGTTCACGACGAGCTAACGAATAGTTTACGAATGCGTGTCCACATTGACACGAACTGGCACAAGTTCATGCATAGTTTGCGCATAGTTTACGCACTTCCCGCATTGGCACGACGAGTTTGCGCAATTCGGACGGTGTCGTGCCGACTTTGACACGCAATATACGTGAGCTGTTCGTAAACTATTCGTGGCAGTTCGTAACAGTCGTGGCATGGCGCGCACTGCCACGCACTGGCACGCATCCTCCCGCATCGTCTCTACGAGTTCGCGACAAGTTCACAAACAGTTTGCGCATAGTTCACGACCCGGTCCCGAAATTTTGTCGTGACCAAAATTTTTAACATTTCATAATTCTCGTCCCGACATGGCATGCAGTCACGACGAGTTTACGCGCACTTCACGCCAGTTTACGACTAGTTTGCGCTCTGGCACGAATCGAGTCGTGCCAATGCGTGCCACAGAATCGTGCAAGTGTCAGCCTTGCATTACAGTCTTAGGTCCTCCTGTCCAACCCAGCTGGTGAAATTCTAAACTTTTTCTTTTATAACAAGCGCTAAACACCTTGTCTTCTCTCATTTCAGGTTGTGAAGATGCTGGTAGTGGTAGTGGCCCTGTTTGCCGCGCTGTGGCTGCCGTACCGACTCCTGGTGCTGTACAACTCATTTGTAGACAAGCATTTCCTGAACCTTTATTACATCTTGTTCTGCCGGAACATGATATTCCTCAATAGCACCATCAACCCTATCCTCTACAATGCCATGTCCATCAAGTTCAGGACAGCGTTTCGAAGGGTAATTAATTGCGGTAAGCGATCCTATCGACCTCCTTACGGGCCCCAGTGTTCCAACAGCAGCGAACACCAAACTTTGACGTCAACAGCAGTCGTGACGTCAGCCGGCGTTGTAACTGTGTTACGTCAGCAGCGCTTACACTCTATGGATCTTAACAGCGTTGATTGCACCCCGCTACGCCATAGTAACTTCTCCTCGCAAAACGCCGGGCGCGTAATGGTTTAGAACTGCGCAGCGGCGTGCTAATTCCAAGAATGAGCCTGCACAATAAGAGAGCTGTGTAGTATTGTCTACGACACAGTGGCGCACAGGTTAAAAGCACACTGGCGATGAAAAGTTTGCAAAGGGACTTTTTAATGGGACTGGTGGGAACAGCAGGGGGTCGATGGAGAGCCATCAAAACTGTGTGTTAAACCATAGGAGCCCATGCATGACGTCACATTAACACAAAACGTTAGAAACTGGTCTAGCATTTTGCTTGCTTTGTGTGCGGCTATTGGTGTCATTGATTTATTTTGTCTGAGTTTTCTGAGATTCTGTCATGCTGAATGGATCCTTGTCAGGATATAAACGATGTGATTTGTAGTTAAGAGAAAAAAATGAAACTTTGGCAGTTCAGATTCTGAGAAGAATGCGTATCAAATTGAAAAGCTTTTAGTGTATTATGAGCGAACACAAAGCGCTGCTAATGGAAGTTCTGGGACCTGTTGGAAAGAAACTGATCATATTTACCATGTTAGCATGATCACCCTATTATTATTATTATTATTATTATTATTATTATTATTATTATTATTCGTAAAAGTATCATTTTCTAGGTATTGTTACTATTATTATTTAGTTATTTTTGTTAATATTATTCTCAACGTTAATGGGCAACTCTATGGGATTAACCCGACAAAATGGATTTTCCTGGGAAAATGACCAATTTTTTCGTACTCACTAAGCGTTTATCTATTCCTCTCTGCACTTTAATTCGTCTTTTAATTAACTTTATAAAGGTTGGTATAGTTTTAAATGTCTGGCCAGTCATACAATGTATTAACCAACAACCATCTTCGTAAGCTCCGATGAAAGTATCAACAGCAGGTACGCTCCAGAAAAAAGTATTAAAAGGGCTAAATTGTTTTAAATGTGTATGTAAGGTTTTATAAGAAGCTGTGGATGGTTAAAATAAGCTTCTGGGGAATTTTTAAAGTCATGAAGTGTACCTATGAGGAACGGAAATCAGTAGATTAAAAGAGAGAGAGAGAGAGAGAGAGAGAGAGATGGAGAGATGGGGGTTAGGAGGGGGAAAGAAAATATACAGTTCAATATTGTGCTTCACGCCCTGCTGCACTGTGCTGTTAAAAACACGTCTGCACATTCTAACAAATTGTAGAGGTCATAATCTGTTCATTTATTGAAAATAAATGTTCTTCTTTCATGAGAATATCTTACATAATCGTTGAAAGTATGCCATTACACAGGAAATGAAGTTATGTTCGATGATTGAACGGCACTTCCTATTAGTTGACATCAGATTACCTACCTTGCATGAAATGTCAGTTTGTTGCGCAAGTTGTATATTGTATGTTTGATTAATAGGTTTTTCTCATTCTTGCGGTAAATAATTTGTTTGTCATATAATATGTTAACATAGCAGAGTCCCAGTAACATAAGTGCGTTTCAATTAATCAACATGGATGACATAAAGTACTTACATGTTCTTACTAGGTATCACATTTCTACACCTTTCTACCTAAGGATCGAATGATCAAATAAGGCCGACGCTCACGATCCTGACTAATTAGTACCCTCTTCCAGGGTCTCGGTTATTATTGTGGACATTTTTTGCTGAATCGAAACCAGACCAAATGACTGTCTATTTATCTAGAGACCTATCTGTGAATATCTGTGAAAAATCAATCTGTCGCCCTGGTAGAGGGTAACTAATTAGTATTAAACCCATGATATAGTCAACAGTGCTAGTGAACGCGTTACTTGCAGTTGGGTGTTCATTGGGCGCACATTTTGAGACGGTGTGATCATCTGGAAAAAAACACTCTCAAATACATCAAATACACAAGGCTCGCCTTCTCAGCTAGTTTAAACTAGTTTTAATCTTTAAAAAATAACATTTAGGTGGATTAGTTATCCGATACTGCCGCCTCGTAGCATTAGTACTCAGTCTGCGAACTTCAATGAAATGAAACGCTTTCGACCCAGGTGTCTGTGAGAGAAACGTGGCATCAAATCAAACCAATACATTAACGTTAATCAGCAAATGCTTCTTAATTTACTTCCCAAAAGGTTGCGTTTCCCACTTCCCCCAACTCTTGTGCAGGGGATATTTCGGCGAACGTGCAGTTTACTCTATCGCCGAATTACAGTACAATAATGAAAATGTATATGTACATGTGTCTAAATAAAAAAGATACACGGATCATATCATATCATACTCAATCTAATATGCAACTTATTATTTTTAATGAACACAGGATATGGTAGTGGATCTGGAAATATATTGCTGAAAAGCACAAAAATTATATATATATATATATATATATATATATATATATAGAGAGAGAGAGAGAGAGAGAGAGAGAGAGAGAGAGAGAGTTGATTGGGTTATGAAAAACAACCTTCACATTAGTCGGACATAAAAATTACTTGGCGTTACGAGAGTTGGTAGAAAAACATATTTATGGCATCTTGTCACTTAAAAGCAAAATCCATCATGCACGTATATTCCCCAATGCAAATGAAGAATTAAAAAAATAATATACCCCCGCCCACCCTCTCCTTACCGACATTCCCATATCCGCCTGTTGCAAAGTCAAATTTAAAGTATCACACACACTATATGATCTATAAAGACCTCAGTCCTGTTTGTTAGATGACGTGATCAATTAAGTACATCAGTTTTTGAGACGACTGAACAATAAAATGCCACGGAAATGATAACTTACATTACACATGATTTGGCCCAAATGATTAATATTAGCTCCTTTTCCTGGCTCGGATTCAATTCAATATTCTCAGCTGAAATGCATTATTTTATTTGTTACTGAAAATGATGAATGACTTGGCACAGTTTCAACGTTCGTGTTCATCTGGCGTTGTGTGGCAAAGGATCCACTTTTAGGTTTGCTTTTCATTTCATCATAGGAAAGGCGAATTATTATTTTGTATTAACGTAATCAAAAAATCGTGCATTACGAGAAGCCCCCGCCATTCCGGCATTATCAAAACTTTGGGTGATTATGTGAAATATCTAAACAGTTTTCTAAACATCTTACCGATTTTGAGATATTATATCATTGATTAGGAAATCAGCTTCAAGGCGGGTCTTGATAAAACACCAAAATTCGAGATTGCAACTAAGATATCGTCATTTGTGGGACATTATCTGGTACCGACAGAAACTGGTTTGAAAACACATCTAGAATCGGTGGAACAAAAATAGATGGAATATGTTATAATAGGTAGATGTTTGCCTTTCAACAAAAAAAAAAAAAAAAGAATAACGCAATGAAATTCCTTGTTAACTGTGTTTTTTATGGCAATTAGTCTTTGCTCTGTATTGGTTAGGTCCTTAAGAGAGCTATCAAGACAAAGCTAATGGATGGCGATCATCGAGGTAACAATGTTAGGAAGCGATGTTCTGTTTTTTTTTTTTTTTTTTGTTAATGGTGAATAAAGGGTCTGAACCCGCCATTTTTTTTTGAAAGATGGAACGTAGTGGGCAGAAGGGAAGGGGCGCATAAGCGTACTTCCAACTGAGAATTCTTATTTCGAACCGTATTGTGTATCCGCTAAGTAATTATAACTAACACAACGCGATCTGTCTCAACTGTTATCAACTTCCCAGCTTTTCCTCCATGTTTTGGGCAAAGATTGAAGTATAATCTAACAATATATTTGTATAAGTATATATTGACAGTGTGTCTTAACAGTTTGTAATTTTTTTGCTTAAAGAGAATATACATGTATTAAACTGTGTTCACTTAAATAACCGTGCACAATAAGTGTTAGACCTATATGTAGCAATTTTCTTTTTTAATTTTACCAATTTTCCCTCTCGCACCAAGCTACACCGTATACCATATGACACCAGAACCGTTCACAAAGTAACGGCAAACAGAATTTTATTGATTTCTAAATTTTAAGTTTTTATTTTTTTTGGTGTTTGAGTCAATAACAAACAGAGCGGTCAAATTTGTTGCACAGGTCAAGCGTAATGAAAAATTTATTACGAATTTCAGTTCCGGGAAACTAATTCCACAAATTCATCACCAGTGCATTCAATCACATATCTAAATCTTATAAAAGTATTTTCTTTCATCTGTGCACCCAATGGCACGTGCAAATAGAAATATAGGATAAAATACACTCATCACAAGGATATCTGATGACAAATTAATGGCAGCTACTGCGGGGGTTTTTAATGACCACTAACCTACCAAACACTGATGACCTCATTAAATAATGCCACTTAGCCTTACGGGGAGATTAGTAGACATCAATTGCTGCCGGTTGTATGTATTCATAGAGTAACACATCTTAGCTTAGGAATAACTTAATTCTCCGTGAAAATTTGGGCTCATTTCCAATGACACTATCGGTCTGCGAAGATCGAACCAACTCCACGGGGACTCGTGCTGAATGCAATCAGGTTTATAAATCATCACGCCTCCTCTTGTTTCCAACGTTCTCATATAAATTAATTAGTCTGATTGCAATAACCACGGAGTTGGATCGGTCTACGTAGACCGATAGTTTTATTGGGAATGAGCTCTTAGGCCCTTTTCACATTGAGCGAAATAGTTTTCCATACCACATCAGTCTGAAAGGTTTACATGTTATTTTGCTTCTGGGGTTTTGTTTCCTTGCACAATGTAATATACCAACTAAAAGAAAACCGATTAACTGGTCGCTATTTTGATTATTTGAGAGTTGTCAACCCTTCAAATGTGCCTCTCGGTGTGGAAAGGGATTATACTTTCTAAAAATCTTACCATTGTCTGTTTT